TTTTGACACCAACATATTGCTTAGGAAGTTCCTGTCTACAACTTATTTTTCTCAATCATGCCCATAAAGAAATTAGAGGCAAGTTATTGATGTCAAACCAGAACTACAGAAATAAAGCCCATTATTTCTTATGGATAGCAAATAGTGAATATTGTACAAATACTCCTTTACAAAACACACAGAAAGACAATATGTTTTGGGAGAAAGACGATTATTGTTATTGGTTTATTAATTATTAAAAAAACAAAATAAAAAGTTATTCAATTTAAAAGTCAATTAAGATTTCAAACAATAACAGTGTTTTTATGTAGCATAGCATTTATAATAGCCAAGAGATTCAAAGCAAACAATAAATAAAGGACATAATAAAAGTAAACTGATCATATGAGAGTTGATCCAAACCCACTTAAGTCAATGGGAAACTTCAGTTATATGCAATTATAAATAAACAATATGTATTTGTGGTGAATAACTGTTAGCTGTTGTTTTTGAGCTCTGTTGAGGACTGTTACATTCAATTGTAAGAGTGTCAAAGTTTTGATTTATGTAAAATTACATATGTATGAGTCTTTGCATTTGAAGCTGTTTTATAAGTCAATGTATTTTTCAGTATTTTTGTTTCTTTTTCAGATTGATTTTGAGCTGTGTTTTTATTTTGGGATTACAGAACAAAGAATAATAATTATTTTGGATCAAAATTGAGTTTATTGTTTTGTGAAGAATTATATAGTTGACAAGTGTTTATTATGTGTGATATACAAGATTTCAAACAGAAGCCATTTTAAAATCTGAATCTCAAAAAGTGTTTGCAGAGTTTAAAACACAAATTCAGGAATCATTCCAATTATAAGTTAAAATTTACCTGAAAATATGAAGGAGGATGTCTTCCCTCTCCCCTTTTATGAGCTATAAAAAGAACAAAAAATCCTTATGCAAGAACTATGAATTGAACCCTAATAAGTGAGAATTTACCATGTCTGGTGAATAAAACTACACTTATAAGCTAGAGCTCTGTTCCTACAGCCACAGAAACAAACAAACAAACAAACAATACAATTAAACACATACAAACACACACATACAGCAGATTTCTAGCACTTGAGCTAAAGGAGAAAGTTTTAGCTGTCATGTACTGAAGGACCTTTATATTCTTTTAGAATTACATCCAGTTAACTGGAAGTAACATAATAATCACCACACAAGTAAAAAACCTGGTAAGTTTCAGTAAAATCTATGTTCTAAGGCAAAATTATAGGATAATAAAATCGAGTTTCTAATAGATACCAGTTGCAACCTTAACTTTGGAGAGGATCCTCATAATGGCTACGTCTTCACTGCAAGGTTTTTGAGCAAAACCAGCTGTTTTTGCGCAAAAACCCGTGGAGCATCCACACCTCAAATGTACTTTTGCACAAGTAAATCAAGAGTAAAACGGCAGAAGAGAAGGCTTTTTCCAGCATAGGTAAACCTCCTTTTACAAGACATAACTCCTTTTTGCGCTATAGCTATTACGCAAAAGACAAGGGTGGATGCTCCAGAGGGGTTTCTTGAGCAAGAAACCCCTATTGGAAAAAGCACAGATGCCCTGATGGCCATTCTGTGAATGGTAATCAGAGCTTTCTTGCGCAAGAGTATCCATGCAGTGTGGACGCTCCCTTGCGAAAAAGCACATCGCTTTTACGATATGCTTTGAGGTGTGGATGTGCTCTTACGCAAGAAATTTTTGCGCAAAAACCCTTGTGCAAAAAGCTTCTTGCGCAAGAAGCATGCAGTGTAGACGTAGCCAATGTGTGCAGCAATTTAAGAATACAAAAATACTTTAGATATCTGTGACTTTTGCTCTTTACACAAGAAACATTATATGAACAAACCAGAAATCTGTGTGGTTAACTAAACATACACCACATGGAAGCCTTCTTAATATATACACTTCTGTTCTAGTTGGGTTCTGGCAGCTCCTAAATAATTGAACATGCTGAATGCCATTAGAGAATTCACAAAGTAATGAGAGATACTACCTTATTCCTGTTGCCTACAATTCCTAAAAGTCAGTTTAAAGATAAATCACCTTCTTGAACAGCTTACAACTGAAATACACAAAAGCACAATGACAGCATGAGGGGAAAAATGGAGTATATTTATTACTACAAGATTTATCCAGCATTGCTTGAGTCCTTAACTCAATTATTTTTTATTTTTTTTTGCAAAATATAATGAAAATGTCCATGTTTCATTCAAATTATGGCTCTGGGGTGAGGCTGGGGATGAAGGGTTCACTATGCAGGCTGCTCCTGGGAGAGAGGACTACCCGAACCCTCTCTCACCACAGTAGCTTGGAGCCAGGTAAGAAGTGCCTATCCATGGCTGCTGAAGCTCCAGTGGGTAAAGCTGGGGGAGGGGTTCATGTCCCCTTGCTAAGGCAGATTCAGGTTAATCTGCCCCCTGCACTCCCCAGCCAGAGTGAGGAATACAGCAAACTTGCACTTTCCCCATACTCGCTGGTGAAGGGGAATAGCCTTCAATGTTCCCATATGTATGGGAGAGGGGGAATGGGGAAGCCAGAGAGCTTCAGCCCTACCATTCTCCCTAAAGGCTCCAGGGGGAATGGAAGGCTTGGGACTGAGATTGTCCCAGATGGAAGGCGTCTGGGTACCCCCAGCCAGTCCCTTTCACCTGCCCCTAGCTCCATAGGCTCCTCCCTCACAAGTTCTCTCCCTATGGCTATAATACTATCCAAAGAGTTTTTGTAAGTGGCTTTGTAAAATGCTTACAGACAATGACAGTCATTGTACTGGCTCTCCGGGACAAAAGTGGACATCATTATCTAGCTTGTCCTCTTGCAAAATGTTTGTGAGTGCCAAATCTTCCCATTGGTTTTCTCAGTAACCAAGTCATAGTTGCAAGTAAAAAAGGTCAAGTCCATTTAACATTTTGTCCCTTTGGTGCTTTTTAGTGAAACTGCTTGAAACACAAGCATCGGTAAGTTTGTCTGACATGAGCACTGCTCTTTATTTTAAAGATCAGAGCAGAAAGCCTGATGTAAACAATCCTGGAAATCAACCTCCTCTTCGCCTGGCCTCGCTTATTGAACATATCAAAGAGCAGATGGCCAGAGACATTATTCAGTTTGTCAGATTTGAAGCAACTGACCTGCATGGAGTGTCAAGATCCAAGAGCATTCCTTCTCGTTTTTTTCATGTAAGTTTTCCCATCTTTTATACTCTTGGGAGGTTTCATGGCCCAGCCCTTATTGCTGTGATAGATTTCCTCATAATGTGTGCAGCAATTTAAGCCTGCAACAAATCAAACATTCTCTCCTGCCCCTTTCTGATTAGTGCTTTCCAAGGATTTGGTCTTCTCTCATTACCCTCAGGCATCATTTCTCTGCCCTGAAGAAATACAAATCTAAATAAGATGGAAATTTCAG